AAACTTCCAACGAATGAGAGTCCACCGCGTTTTGAAGGAATCGTTTCCACTATCAAGCAGTTCTTACTGTCAGAAAATTCTTCCTAAGGTTTAGTTGCAATCTCCTTTCTTGTAATTTGAATTTATTGGTTTGGCTTCCCCCCTCTGGAGCAGCAGAAAACAAGCTTGCTCCATCTTCCATGTGACATCCCTTCAGATTTTTGAAGATGGCAGTCATATCATCATGTGGTCTTCCTCTGGTAGCTGTTTGAAAAACTGGCTTTTTAGGGGGTGCTCTTAATTTTCAGGTGTGCGACATCCCCCCCTCACCTTACCTTTCATGATGATGATAATGATGATAAAATTTTTTTATTTATACCTCGCCCTCCCGGGCCAAAACCGGGCTCAGAGCAGCTAACACAAAATGTATAACACATTAACATAAAATCAGACAATCAATTAAAATACATTCTAAAATCAAATCAGGATCGGAATAAAATCCAAGCAGATGGCAACCCACATATTAGGGTTGGGGACCTTAAATGCTCACCAGGCCCAACTGTTTGTGCTGAACTTTTATGAGCCTGTGAGAAAAATTGGGAGGCCACTTTCATGCAAGTTCTTATGAAAGGGGAGGGGGAGTCAGACTGAAGCAACTTTTGAGGCGAAACGCTGAAATCTTGCTCTTGCCTTCCTCATGGGCTTGGATCTCGGAAGCCTTCCATTTGCCAGTGGCTCTTCCCCCCTCATTATCATAGGGTTGCAATAAAGCTCTAATTCCTGGAATAAAATACAGCAGAATCTGTTATTCAGCCAATTAAGCCTTCCATCTCCATTATTTAGGATGGCTACTTACCTTTTACTGAATGGGTAGCCATAATGCAAGAGTTCCTATAAAACCCCCTCAAATGGCCACTGTGGCAGCAAGTAGATTTCCCTTGGAGTAAAATAATCCTTGGTGAGTGAGACATAACGATCATTTACATTAATTAGGCAGCCACCTAATGGGGTGTTCAAGAGCTGCTACATCACTGGAATTCTTTCGTGAGCAGCCCCAGCCACCCAGCAGAACCGTTCCAAGCCCATAATTTTGAAATAATCCTTTAGGCTGCCGGTGTGCCTGGTGGTGGGGGCTGCAAGCTAGCCAAAGGGAAGTCTCATTTCTGATCACTTTACAAGGGGAATCGTCTATATCTCGAGCCTGCCACACAAAGCCCAAAGGTTTTCTTTCCCAAAGCAGGAAGAAAAGGAAGAACACAAGAAGAGCCTTCTGGATCAGACCAATGGCTCATCAAGTTCAGGATCCTGTTCTCCTATTTTCACCCCCGCAGACGGGTAGCTAATTAAAAACCTGTTTTTAAAGCTTATTAGCTGCCTTTCCAGAGACATCTCTGCCCAAGGCAAAGCACAATAAAAATCAAAAACATAGCAGAAGGTAGCCACAAAGCAAGGAACCACAATTCCCAAAAAAACCTGCAAAGAATGAAAGTTGTTTATTAATAAAGAGCCAAGAACCTAACTTAAATCTGCAACCAGACATTCTTCTTGAGAAGTGGGAGGCCTGCTTTGACACATTTCTTGTGTTTTTCTGCTGAAAAAGAGAAGGCAGGAAATCGATCGAAACAACATCAGAAAACGCTCCGGGTCACACGCACCATCTGTCAGTCTATCATGCGAAAGATGGGACACAGAGCCGCACGACCCTTGCTTGTTAGAATCATAGAATCTTAGCTGAATTAGCAAAGGTGTTTCCAAAGATGCCCTGTGGCCAGGCCAGTGGACACTTGGTTATGTGTCCATTATGCATTGCCAGGGATTGGACTAGATGAACCTTGGGGTCCCTTCCAATTCTACAAGTCTATGATTCCATGTGTTGAGTTTGTAGGATGGGATGCACTTCTGCACTGCTGGAGTTTCCTCCAGGAAAACAATAACAGAGGGTCTTTCGGTGGGCATTTTAAAGACTAACAATTATCAGAGGTTTCATGGACCACAAACAATCAGATACAACCAATGCTTTTTTTTACTGGGGGTACTCAAGGGTACACAGGAACAACACCTCCCCCCCCTCTTCAAAGGTTAAAAGTGTGGCATGTACTGTAACAACTTCATGGTAAGAACGGCACCTTATTTTCCTTTTAAAATAAATCACTGGATGCAAGCATTTCTTAAAAGTGCAGCTTCCAGGATCTAAGTGTGAGGACTTTCCTGGACTGAAGCATGAATAGGAGGTGGAATTAGAATCACGAAAGGTATCTCTTTGTTAACTGTCGTGGAGCAGAAGTTGCCATCAAATCCCAGTTATGCTCTTGCCGATTCCAGGCTGAGGAAAACACTTCCGTTACAGCAGGCTTTTGAATGCTGAATTTCTAATGGCTTGCAGAGCAAATACATTTAATCAAAATCCCTGCAGCTGTATTTTGAATAATTATGCATACACACACACACACATGTGGGGAATCAGCAGATATGTTATTAGTGGTACTGTAAATGGACTCAAATACGAACAGCATCAGCTGTTGAACTTCTGTGAATGAAGCAGGAGAGCCGATGCTTTTGCTTGGAGTCAACTCTGCTGATTGCTCTCTGTATTAGTAAAAAGATACGGTGCATAAAAAATGGGGAGAGCAGGGCAATAGAGCTCCATTGTCGTGGACAGCAGACTAAGGCCACAGATCATCTGCTCAACAGCCTTTCCTGCTATGGTGAGATGGACTGTATTTTTATTTAAATGATAGCAGTTGTTTCTAAACATCTGTGTTTGCACATATAAATTAGCACGTGTGACTTTCGTGCAAATCTGTTGCCTCTTTTGTTCTCTTTTGGGGTGATGTGTTTTCATGAGCAGAGTGCTGTGGTGCTGATGTCCAGCTTGTGGGCTTCCCTCAGCCACTCTGAGAACAGGATGCTAGACCAAGCAGGCCACTGGGAGTCTCATTCTTACATTCCCCAAATTTGGGGGATTTGTAAGTGGCCATTTTACCCTTCAAAAAAGAGTGTGGAGAATCGCCAACTGTACACCTCACTGAGGGAGAAAATGTTCATGAAACATGTCTTCCTTTTCCACCCAGTGCTAGCACCAATAAGTCAGGTTTTGTCTCACTCTAGAGGACGCAGGCCAAATATACAAGTCACATACCCTTAAACATTCCTCAGATGAAAATAGGGACATTTCTCACTCTCCCCAGCTGACCTCCACACAGAGCATTCCATTTTATATACATGTGTATATATATAAATTTTATTACATTTTCTATTTTACAATTTAGAATACTCATTTAAACAACCTTAAAATATCAATGACTTCCCTCCTTCTCTTTCCATGGTTCATTTTGCATATCAAAAACCCCTGCATATTTTACATAAACTAAACCATTCGATATTCCATTATTACATCCATCAAAACTTATTTACACAGTTGAATTTATCTTAATGCTGCCAACGTTTTCAAGCGTACACAATTTCCCCCCATATTTTCAATAAACACAGCACAGATCATTTCATATCAGAAGGGCAAATGCCACCATCATTTCACCAGTGGGGCACAGCACACACCCTCCACTGCCTTGAGAAAACCCCTTAATCCTGATTTTATATCGTTTTGTTCTTTGGTAGATTTAGCAGAGGTCATGGAGAGGCTGCCGTTGGAAAATTGGGACTCTTGGAAGGGTATAAAGTGACAGAAATTTAGCAACTCGGGTGACTCATTTGAAAGGGATATATATTTAAAGAAGAGTGACTGTTGGTAATGAATTGAGTTGTGTGCACACACACAACAGCTTGTGTGTCCTTCACAGTCCAATGAAACACAGTTAGGGCTCACTTTAATTTGTGTAGCATCTTTGCTAACGATGTCGATTTAAGACATCCATTAAAGGCCCATAATGTTAATTAACTGGACTGTGCCAATAAAGTTCTATTAGCCTCCCCCTATTAAATTAATATGATAGGCATTTAACAGATGTCCTAATTAGATGTTACATCAAGGAATGAGGTAAATTAGAATCAAGCCATTGTTCGAGGGGGAACTTTTGTGCCGTGTGGGGCAAAAAATAGTGAACGAGGGGGTGAAAAAGAAGGAACATCACAACCCTTAACTCCACACAGAAAAAGTGGCTGTGAGCAACTTTGGAAAGAGATATCGGGGTCATAACAGGCAGTCATGGGGATATATCAGCTCTGATACTTATGGGGATCAAAACTAAACAGACAAATTGCAATGCCATTGGGTAAATTTGAGGGGTACCCACAAGACTAGCCAAGTTGGCACCTTCCTCATGCCTCATACAGAAGGTGGTAGTTGAATGTTACTTCATCAATGGCAGCAGAGCATCTTCCTCATCCTCTGCAACTAGACCTCCAGTTCTCACCTGAAGTCTCCAGGTTTGCCTGGCCCCATCCAGGTGACGGGCTTGAATCTCCAGGTTGCCGAGAGTATCTATTATTATTAGCCATTAAAAAGATTGGATATGCAGCTTGCAATCTTTCAGTCTGGCAGAAGCTGGCTGCAAATTATAGCATAGACACTTGGGGGTGGGAAGTTTGCCTTCTTTCATTCCTCTCTCCCAATTAACCTCCATCTCCAGGTCTGTGACATCACTGAGGGATGCTCCCATTCCATTACCAGGGGTCCCTACTAGGTCTTGGGTTCAGGCTCTGAAATTTCAGGGTCTGGGATGCTCCTGACCTGACAACCCTATCTGCACTTGAAGGCAGCAGACTTGCTTAGCAGGGCAGTCTGTATGATACACGCAGCTCTGTCCCCCTTCAACAGGGGGGCTCAGGAAGAATATCCAGGATGGCTGCTGGCCCTGCCTTCCCCACCTCGCAGCGGCATTCAGAGCCTGAGGCCATCTCCTTCCTCTACCTAAGGATAGGGCCAGGCCTGCAACCCATATCTGAAGTAGAGAATGTGCATTTCTGGCTACCCTATCTCAAAATAAGGCAACATAAAGGAGGTGAAGAAAGAGGGACTGGGATAAAAGAAAAAGAAGCATTTAAATATGCAACGGATTACAAAGGCTGTAGCTCAGTGGTAGAGCATCTGCTTGGCATGCAGAAGGTCACAGGTTCAGTCCACAGTGCATATCCAGGTACGGCTGGCAGACACTCCCTTCCTGAAAAACCTGGAGAGCTGCTGCCAGTCAGTGTAGACAGTACTGAGCTACATGGACCAGTGGTCTGACTTGGTGTAAGACAGCTGTTTATGTTCCTAATAGTATTCCAGATTTCCCTGAGCAAGTGAGCCCACCTGTTATTCCCAAACCGCTTCAACGGTTCTGGCAGAAAAGGCTGAGAAGGAGGGGAAGGCAATTGGCTGCATTTGGGGGAACCTATGCCCTTTTGCCTTAGAAATTTCCCGCACCCCAACCCCAACTCTCTAAGGACAGCAGCCGGGAAGCAGCTCTCTAATGCAGAATTGCATCCCATAGTGACATCAGCAGCCAGCAGACCAATCTTATCCTTTTATCCTTTGCTGTGTTTGCATACTCAAAAATTCAGAGCTTTCAATGGCAGGCTGTGCCCTTGTTGCAGATTTACAAGCATCCCTGCCATTTGGCTGCAAATCTCCTCCGAAAAATAATAAATAAGCACTTAGCATAATTTTTAATCCACTTCTGACTCCTCCCTTTTCCCCTTTAGAAAGCAGGGAGAAGGCATTTTAGCAGCTTATGCAAGCCCACCCGCACACATTTGACATGGAAATAATGGATCATTTTGCCAATTTCAATGACATCTGAAATCTGTTGCTGGAGGCAGCTGCTTCATATCAGCCTCACAGGGTCAGCTTTGCTGCACAGGATCACTCTGAGAACAAAAGAACCTCAGGAAAACCTGCTGGATCAGACCATCTAATGCAGCGCCCTGTTCCTCCAGTGGCCACCCAGATGCCTCTGGGAAGCCAGCAAGCAGGACCCAAGGACAAGAACCCACTGCCTTTCTGTGATTTCTAGCAAGTGCTATTCAGAAGCAGTGCTGCCTCCAGCTGTGAAGGCAAAGCAAGGTAGCCATCAATAGCCCTCTCCTACATGAATGCCCAGTCCTCTTTTAAAACCACCCAAGTTGGTGGCCATCACTGCTTCCTGTGGCAGAGAGTTCCACAGTTTAACTATGCATTGTGTGAAGCACTGCATTTTATCTATTCCCATTCTTCCAACATTCAGCGTCTTTGGGTCCCCACGAGTTGAATTGAAATATTGAAACTGAAATACTTTATTGTCACTTGTACAACTTGTATACAGTGAGATTACACGAGTACCCCCCACTCAGCTCTTAGTCTTAATTCCCCTCGTTTACTGATGCACACCCACCAAACCCGAAAGTCAGTTGCCCTGTTGTTAACTTTTCATTCAGCAGCCTAACAGCCCACGGATAGAAGCTGTTTTTTACCCTGTTGGTGCAACTAATCATGCTTCTATATCTTCTGCCTGGGGGCATATGTAGATATGTAGAGGGTAGATAGGTAGAGTTCCAGCAGTATGAGAGGGGAACTTTTCTCTGTCCACTTCCTCCATGCTGTGCATAGTTGTATTATTAGTTTACCAAATGCTACACTCTCCAGCAGCACAAATCACTGCTCACATGGCTGCATAGGATCGGAGGTCTAGGCACTGACTTCTTCATGGCCACTTGAGGGTTTGTGTTTGAGATGGGTGTTTGAATCCTGGGCTGCCAGTCATTGAATGGGTGGACAAAGCACGGAGATCTGGGTCAAATCTCCCCTCTGATTTGGGCTGTTTCACCCAATTTGGACAGAATGCCAAACCATAGTGTCAGGGAACTGCCATCGGAGCTAGAGGCAGAGGGAAGGCTCCAAAGGGATGCTGGAGAGGGTCCCAGTAGGGAGAGAGGCAGCCCATCTGCTGGGGAAGGAAATCAGCGTAACACCAGTGGAGAAGGGGGGCAGGTGGGGGAATCGGGGAGGAGGCTCCAAGACTCTTCACTGGAGACCAGCGGAGAGAGTACGGGTACTCCGCTGCCCACACCCTCCCTGCGCATAAGACTTCCGCGCAGGGAGAGTAGGAGGAGACTTGGCGTCAAACAACTTTTATGCTGGAAAAGGTTTAAGAAACGCCCACTGACGGATTCTGCCAGCGACTGAGGCAGTCACAATGCTGGAGGCTGTTCAGTCAGAAAGGGTTAACCAGGTAACCTAGCCAGGAGTGGCGGCAACTTACGCACGAGCAACCCCTAAACCCATTACACATAGTTTAGTGTTATGTTCAAGAACTGGCTCCCAGGTGTAGCTGCAAGAACAGAATTGGCAGAGGGAATGCAGCCCCTGGGCTCCCAAAAAAGTCCCCCTGATCCTGCTTTAGGACACACACAGAAGCTCAAAACTATTTTAAGGGATGACGCTCTGAAGATCCATGTTTTATGCATGGGCCATCCCTGTTGCAAATAAATTGTGTGCTCAGGCTTGTCCTTATTCATAATCCCATCCCACTGAATGCCCTGCTATTCTCTTTCATTTCAATGTCAATGTGCCTCCCATCTTTTTTTTTTTTTATATATAAATTCAGCATAGTTAATCTTTGCAGCACACATTTACCTCTGGAGAATTGTGCTCCATCGGAAAGCCACTCCCCTCCTCCTCCTGGCCACAAAGAGAAAACAATGGGAGAAACTTTGCATTACAAAGCCCGGGACCGGGTATTGCTTCTCGGGAGCATCAAAAGAGTTATTTTCCATCTCAATTTGAAGAGTTTACATGGTTCAGCAGAATGCCCCAAGAAGCGCAGGGGAGGTGCTGGTGCCTTAGAAGATGGGCTGCATTTACATAATCTTTTTTTAAAACAACAACAGCGGAGGGAGAGAATAGTTGTTGGTATGTTCAGCAGTAAACACCTGCCTATTAAACTGTGAATAAAAAGAGCCCTTTTCAGAAATGGGGGGGGGGGAGAGGGAAGCACGCAAACAATACCGTTCCTTTCCAAGTCATCATTCAAAAACCCAGGACAATCAAAATAATTCATACAATTTTGCACACCGCCCCAGTACTTAGAACATTTCCCCCCCACTCCGCCAAACTTTCTTACAAAGAGAAAGAGACAAAGGAATGCAATTGTTCCCAAATCTTTTGAATCTTGAGTATTAAAGCGAGAAGACTGTTAAAGCATATAATTTTCAAAGCGTAGTTAAAGCAACAGGCCAGAATATGGGAGAAGCGGGCACCCCCAATTTCCCCACAAAAACTGCTTTTGAAAGCTTGTTTCCTCCCTTTGGGAACCTGTACAAGTGGAAATAACCCCTACCTAGGAAGGAAGAAAACTAAAAGCCTGAACATACATTCTAGAGGTGTTCCTAGTTGTTTGCATCAAAGACAAAAATGAAGACTCGTGGCCTGTTAAAAGCTCATTGATTTCTTGTGGACCAGAAGCACTTCTTGGTGATGTGGACTTTTGCCTGTGGAAGTCTGCACCACAAGAAAAAAAAAATTGCGCTCATGGTAAAAATGACAGGTTTTTTTTAGGGTGGGGCTAAAGATTCAAAATTCAAAACAGCAACTATTAATTAGAAATCCAGTTAAAACTATTTTGATTAATTAATTCAAAAATAAAAATGGATGAACTCAATCCAGTGATACCAGTTTTTCCAAATCTGAGTCATTTACACCTCCAGCATCCCCCCCACAACCCCTTGCCTCTTAGCGTGCCCCCCCAGGATGGTACCACCCACTTTGGGAACTTCTAGACTAGATTAAGGTCACCAGATGTCCCCGTTTCCCAGGGACAGTCCCCAGATTTACAGATCAGTCCCCATACAAAATCCATTGAAGTTGAAAAGTGTCCCCATATTCATTGAAAAAAATCTGGTAACCTTAGACTAGATGGACAAACCTTTGTCAGTTTTTCCTTTGGCATACATAGAAAACCAGTCCTCTGCTAAGTAGCACTGCCCCATCGCCTTCCTAGGCGAAAATGCTAGCTGTATGTGTGTTGCAAGTGCAAGGAAAAGGAAGGTACTTTTTAACATATGTGGTGGTCCTGTAGAAAAGCAAAAGACTTCTGGGAAATGATCTACAATGAATTTTAAAAAAAAAAATGTTTAAAATAACTTTTGTTAAAAAACCAGAAACCTTTTTGCTTGGACTAACAGGTGATGGAATACCAAGGGATCTAAAGAGATTATTTATGTACGCAACAACAGCAGCAAGAATGTTATTTGCCCAAAAATGGAAAGAATAGAAGGCACCAACTAAAGAAGAATGGATAACTAAAATGATAGACTATACTGAAATGGCAAAGATGACTGTGTAGATCAGAGACCAGGACGAGGAAAAGTTTGAGCAAAAATGGAAAAAAAATTATGGACTATTTAAAAGACCGTTGTAAATACATTAAAACACCAGGTTGGATATAACATTTATGTTAACATTGGAAATCAAGGCAAATAAGAGGATATGAGTTTGAAAATAAAAATGAGATGCAAGAAAATAAGGGGAGAAAATTGGAATTCAGAACGGGGAAAGGAGGAAGTTCATACTGTATCTGACATTTTGGAAAAAGCATTAAATATGTGAAAAATTGTAACTAAAAAATTTGAAAATAAAATATTTTTAAAAAGAAAAGAAAATACTTGCTGTAAACTTGTTCTTTCCTACTGCAAAGATATCTTGAGTCATCCTTGGGATAGTTACAAGGATATGCAAACCAGGACTCACTTTATTACTGCAAAATGCATAATCTTACGGGAGGTTATGGAAGGTTTACTTTGCTGTAAACAAAGTATCAGATTAGATCCTAGGGCTTAGTGGAAATGATTTTATTTATTTAAAAGGTTTAATAACATCAATAAAACACAAAGGATGTACAAAGGATAGAAAGGTGTTTGAAACACTGCGGGAGCATTCATTTATATGGATGCATTTCTCACACTCTCTTGTTTAAAACAACAAGGATTGTTCCTTCACACACACCCAAGTCTCAGGATGCACAAACTGCTAGGAATAGTCTCTCCATCCCTTGGAAACAACACATCAGTGGCTCCCATTTCCAGAAAGAAAGGAAGAAGGAAGAAGGTTCACAGGTCAATTGTTCCTCTTCCTTTAAACTTCTTTGCAGAACGCTCGCTGGCTCGGAACTGAATCTTGCTCCCGTAGATGTAGGAGATGAAGCCATCGATCTCCAGGCTGAAGACGTTGTTGAGCTTCGGGATGACTGGAAAGGGAAGCCAAGAAGATGACAGGCGTCAGCGGCCGCAGTACAAATGCAGAGCCTTATGTGGTTCTATTGATGTATCACCTTATTTATTTATTTACTGCATTTAGATCTCACCTTTTCCTCCAAGGAGCTTAAGGGGGTATAAGTGGTCCCGTCCTCCCATTTAATCCCCACAGTAACCCAATGAGGTAGGTTAGGCTGAGAGGCAATGACCTGCCCCGAGATCACCCAGTAAGCTTCATGGACCAAGTAGGGATTTGAAACCGGGTCTCTTCCAGGTCCTAGTCCAGCGCTCTTAACCCACTACAACAGAGTTTTCAACCTTTTCAAGTCCACGGCTCCCTTGACCAACTACATTCTTCCTGCGGCACCCCTGTGGGTCTCAGGAACCCAGTACTGCCCGCAGAGCTGGCAGCCTCTCACCGCTTTTCAAACATCCAACACCCTCCCCTTGTGCAGTGTTCCCTCTGCCTCATCTTTCCTCCCCTTTCCTTGGGAGTCCTCTGGGCAGTTGCTGCTGCTGCCGTCTCTGGTCTCTGAGCTGCCCCCTCCCTGCCCCAAAGAGAGCTGCCTCCTAGAAGCACCATTCGCCTGTGGAGCTTAAATAATAATAATAATAATAATAATAATAATAATAATTTTTATACCCCACCCTCCCCAGCCAGAGCCAGGCTCAGGGCGGCTAACACCAATAAAATCACAGTAAAAACATAATGGGGGGGGAACCCCAATTTAAAATACAGGTTAAAATGCAATTTAAAATGCAGCCGATAAATCAAGACCATAAGGGAAACATAAGGGTCAGAGTGAGTCCAAACCAAAGGCAAGGCGGAACAGCTCTGTCTTGCAGGCCCTGCGGAAATATGTCAAGTCCCACAGGGCCCTAGTCTCCTGTGACTGATCATTCCACCAAGTTGGGACCAGTACTGAAAAGGCCCTGGCTTATAGCCGCTGCTGCTGCAATAAACAGCTGTGCAAGCCTTTGGGAGGCAGAGACGCAAGAGGGCATCAGAGGAGAGAGGGAAGGAAAGAGGGACAGAGGCCAGTGTTGCCCGCAGCACCTCTGACCATCATTCAAGGCACCCCAGGGTGCCACGGCACACTGGTTGAAAACCACTGCAGTTCACCACATTGTATGAGGTGCTTAACTCAGAATAAGGGGGGCAGACCCCTGTCTTGAGGGGCCTACAAATCAAGACTAAGACATAAGCAGCTGAGGACAGGGGAAAACATAGATAGTTTAAAGCCAAAGGCCTCATTAAAAAAGGAATGCTTTTGGTGGTGCCTAAAGTCCAGTAAAGCATACTCTGAAAACAGATCTTAATTGTGATTTACCAATTTCACTTCTTTTTAAAAAAAGAAACCAAAATCTCAACTCTGTAGCAACTAGCCAAGACCCTTCCAGGGTGAAATGAGACAAATGGCCATTAGTGAAGGAGGAGCAGTGATTCACTGTGCAATTTGACGGGACCATTAACAAAGCAAGTTACAGTAAGGAGTGTCTGGTACCTTTCATCTTGTCTTCTCTTGTGATAATTTTGAAAACATGTTTCATTTCCTGCAGGACAATGCCTGTGATGCCGACATAGGAGGGACATTTCGATTTAGTCACTATAGCAAAGAAAAGCAGATTATTAGGGCAGGACAGTCAGTTTTCGCATTACACTTATTGCAATACTCTACCTGCCTCTGTGCTTCCCCTTACAGTACAGAATGCAACTGCTTGTGTAATTGACAAGTGTCATCCAGCTGATGTCAGTGTCTATTTATTTACAACACTCAGCAGATTTGCACTAACAAGGGGTAATTGATCTGGTTTCCAACTGTGATGTTTAAGTAGCATGGAAACCATAGTTTCCCAGTTTGGACATCGCAAGGAACTGTGGTTTGACAAGGCAGGGTAAAAGTGCAAAAGCTAGGCACAGGGCTTATCAGTCCAAGACTGTTTTGCTGGAACCAGGACACAGATTGACCACATGGTTGCCCTCAATTAATTAGGCAGCCTAATTTTTTTTGTTTACAAGCAGGCCTTTCAAATAGAATGTTGCAGTGTATCCCTATTGTGTGTTAACCGAGTCTGTGGCTAAAGGGATTAGAAAGACAAAAAGTTAGTTTTGAAGACAGGGACGTATACATGGAAGGCGAGTCACACATTTAAGTAATAGTAATAAAAATATCATCATTTGGAAGAGATTTCCGAAGGCACGTGGGTTTGCAGGGAGGAGGCAGAAGCTGCCTGTTCTTATCCCCATATCAATGAATACCTCCTACTGGATCAAAAACCCTTGGGTATACAGCCCTTGGTCTGATCCAGCATGGCTCTACTTACGTGCAGCCCATTTGAAAACAAAAAGTACATCATTTCCTTTGAAGCTATTGATCCCTCCTATGCAAAATATGCAGGTTTTGTCAATCAATCACTTGCTCAGCTGATCAACTCAAAACTTACAGAGTCAACTGAGATCTGCTTAAGTAGGTGACATTTGACTTTCAGCCTTCAGAACTGTCCCAAGTTAAAAGCATCCCTGCATTTAGGATCGGAAGTCAAATACCTGTAATGAGAGCTCCGTGAAGATCAGCTTTCAGCAATTTGGCCTGAATCATCTGTGGCTGCCTGATAAAAATAACATATAATATACTAATTAACATTAGAGTTCTTCAAAGTATTAAAAAAGCAACAATATTAACATTACAGTGCCAAGAAACATTAAGCCATTCAAATTCTGAAATACTCAGTTTAAAGCAGCCTTGCAAATAAGCCTTTGGAATCACTAGCCTGCAAGTGGTTGGCAGAGGGCTGAAGGTTCATGCAGGGTGCAGAGGCGTGGGCTTCCCTCGCCATTCTATGGTAGGCATAAAGGAGGGATGGTGTTATCCATCTCTCCTCTAGCAGCCTCTTCACTGTCCCATGCAACCAGGAACTGCATGCAACTATTACCTTACAAACACAGGGTTGCATTCAATGACCTTTTACTCAGAGTAGCCCTATTGAAATTAATTTACCTATGTTATTCATGCCCTGCAATTTCAATGGGACTGATCAGAGTTATGACTAGCACTGGCTACAACCCATAAGTGCTGGACCTTACCTAAAATAACCCCTACAGGCTCTTAAATGTCAGAAAGCATGTAGAGAAAAATCACACTGCACAGACTTTTCTTCCCCCAAAATATTTTAAATAGTTGTCTTTAACTGTTTTTGCTGATAATTCCATTGCTTTATTCTTACTGTAAACTGCTTTGAGGTTTATTTATTTGGTGGTGCCAAATAAAACAAAAAAAGTATGATAATATGTAATTCCATTCGGGGCTAACACAGGGATAGGGGAACCTGTGGTGAAAACACCGAACCGGCATCATCCATAACCACTAGCCAGGGTGTTTGCTGGGGCTGATGGGAGTTGAAGTCCAACAACATCTGGAGGGCCACGGGTTCCCCATCCCCTGATTTCCTGAGAAACGGCACCTGATCACTGCTGTGCTCCCAACATAAGTCTCCAAATGTGATCCAAGCACTACTTAAGCCTAATGAACTTACGCTTCTAGCTTGAGCCCATTGCAGAGTTCTCTGATGTACTGCTCCCACAGCTCATGTAATGGCACAAAGATCTCGTACCTGCAGAACAAGTCAAAAATGGCTTTGTTAATTCCCCATGTATCAGCAATGCCCTGAAGCATCTATTAAATCTAAGAACGCAAGAAGAGCCCTGCTGGATCAGGGCCCAGTGACCTATCTAGTCCAGCATCCTGTTCTCACAGTGGCCAACTAGATGCCTGCGGGAAACCAGCAAGCACAATGATTTGAGCTTCTAGCAACTGGTGTTCAGAATCACTGCTTCCTCTGACTGTGCCATCATGGTGAGCAGCCAACAATAGCCCTCTGGTCCGAAATGGAAACTATTCAATTTAGGATTTCAGAAACGGTTTCCCTCCTGATTTTATGGATGGAATACTATGTGTGGGACAAAGGCAATTCACAAAAAGATAGCATAAAAAGGCTGAAGATGGGTAAGTTGTGGATGAAGTCTGGGCCTTCCTGTTCAGAAAGCGCTCAACGTTTTCAATAGCTGCCAGCTGTAAGGGAAACAAGATGGCCATCCAACGGCTTTAATGCCGTTCAAGGGCAGTGATTACAGTGGAGAGAAAGTTACGATCTGAGTTGTTTAACCACCAGCTCCCTTTTCAGAAGGAATTCTGGGAATTGTAGTTCTGTGAGGGGAACCGGCATCTCCTAACCTCTATATATCCTTAATGAACTACAGGATTCCCATGATTCTTTGCAGGAAGCCCTGACTGCTTTAATTGTATAGTTTAGACGAGGCTCGATAGCGAGTCATTTTTATTGAAGTTTAAGGCAGAGCTAAATTGGATCTGAAACATGACAAACGTTGAGTGTCGCCAAAAGTTTTGGTCCGTTTAATTTTGGTGGCTAAAAACAGCCTTATTCTCTGCTCCTGAAATGCTGAAGGGAACCAGCTGAGCTGCTTGTCTTCTGGGTCATAACTGCATCATACATTTAAAACACTTATTATACCATTCAACAGTCATGGCTCTCTCCCCCCACCCCCCCAATAATCCTAGGAACTATAGTTTGTTCAGGCTGCCGAGAGTTGCTGGGAGATCCCTACTCCCCTCACAGATCTACAATTAGCAGAGTGGCTTAAAAATCCATCCTTCTTCCCCGGGAACTCTGTGTAGGGAACAGGGGGTCTAACACCAGAAGGTGATATTATCTGATTATTGCTACCAGAGCACAGCTGAGCCTATACACCAGCTCTGCCATTTGAAAGCCTTAAAAACAAAAGAAAAATGATCATGCACAAATTTGAAACAAGGTACCTTTTGGAATAAAAAGGTCACAAGTTGCCCTCTAGTGGCCAAGTACCATTGCAGATTTATTTTAAATGAGAAATCTAGTGCTTTGAATATTCTAGGAAGCTGCCCTACACTGAGTCAGATCATTGGTTCATCTACGCCATTGCCGTCTACATTCACTGGCAAAAACTCTCCAGGGTTTCAGGCAGGGAATCTTTTCCAAACCCTACCTGGAGATGCTGCGAAGTGAACCACCTGGGTGCTCAGACAGGTTAACTTGAAAGTGAAGCCTGTCGTGCCAAAGGCAAGTAATCTTCCTTGGTTGTGAACCAACATGGTGAAAAGAACCTGTTAACTCATTGCCTGTATTAAAATCAGAATGGTACAGACCAAAGCACATTGCCTTACTGACATCCCAATTTCCAAAAAGAAAGAAAGCAAGCATCCTTCTTAAGGAGGCTTGCTATCAGTTGTTAACACAGTACTGTAAATGAGCCCATGCAAGTTACTAGCCTGGCTTAACTGGCCTGTGTTAGACTCTGTCCTGGGATGGAATCCACCACCCCTCCTCCATCAGTCCCTTGGGCCCAGGCTCCTTGAAAAATCATATATCCATATCCAAATCTGCCCGGGTGTTAAGATCCTCAGGAGTGCAATTTCTCGGTCCCAGCAACATCAGAAACATGGTGGTGACCCGAGAGAGAGAGAGAGCCTTTTCTGTGGCTGCTCCCCCATTATGTGGAATTCCCTCCCCAAGAGAGGTCACACTGGCTCCCTCTTTGCTAGCTTTCCACCAGCAGGCTGAGACCGATGCTGACCGCTGGGCTGCTGTCTAGGTTGGTGGCCATTGCTGTCTCCTGCAGGAGCGAAACCCGCAGCTTGACTATTTGCTTCATGGAGAAGTACGTACCTCTGGTGCTCTGGTTTAATGTCAAAGAGCTTCATCTCTCTCCTCTGCTTGGCAGAGAACCCCTTGCCTTTCCTCTTCTTCTGCCTTCTCCTCCTCATGTGCAGGTGTTCAAGGACCACCGCTTTTCGGGTTAAGTGGTCCTGGATGTCTTCATCGCTCTTCTGAGGCATGCTGCGCTTTAGGAAGGCTTTCACAAAGGCCTCGGCTTCCTTTGACCCTTGAGGCTACAAAAAGAAGAAGAAAATGAATTCACTGAGTCACTGAAGTGTGCACTTCTTCACAAAGCATAGGCTATCTGAAGGACCATATTCTCCTGCCTGGGCGCTGAGATCTTAGGGGGAGGCCCTACCACCTTCACAGGCACGCTTGGTGGGGATGCAGGAGAAGAGCCTTCTTGGTGGCTGCTCCCAGCCTTTGGAACTCCCTCCCAAGAGAAGCTAGACTGGCTCCCTCCTGGTCCTGCAGACTGTTTTATTCCAAGAGGCCTTTGCGAACTGACTGGTTTTAGTTTTAGTTTTTAAGGAAAGGGCTTTTAATAGTGCTGCACTGTTTTTATTACCTAGATTTTAATAGATTTTTCTTTTTATATCAGCACCACCCATAAACCAACAGAGGCATCTCCAAGCTTGGGGGGAATCCCTCTCTTTGCCACTTGTAGCAGGTTTGCAAACACATATAGAAGCAAAACAGTGCAATGAGGACCGAAACATGCTCAGTGATCACAGAATTCTGAGTGACAGGAGGTGAAACGGAATGGAGTATTCTGGTTGTTAAGACCAGAATACCGAAAACAAGTATTTCATGCTACAGCATTTTGTTGCATATGATAACAACAACAACATAATAATAATTTATTATTTTTACCCCACCCATCTGGCTGGGCTTCCTCAGCCACTCTGGGCGGCTTCCAACAAAATATTAAAATACCGTAATACATCAAACATTAAAAGCTTCCCTAAACAGGGCCTTCAGATGTCTTCTAAAAGTCTGGTGGTTGTTGTTCTCTTTGACATCTGATGGGAGGGCATTCCACAGGGCGGGCACTACTACCTAGAAGGCCCTCTGCCTGGTTCCCTGTAACTTGGCTTCTTGCAGTGAGGGAACCGCCAGAAGGCCCTCGGCGCTGGACCTCAGGGTCCGGGCAGAACGATGGGGGTGGAGACGCTCCTTCAGGTATACTGGACCGAGGCCGTTCAGGGCTTTAAAGGTCAGCACCAATACTTTAAATTGTGCTCAGAAATGTACTGGGAGCCAATGTTGGTCTTTCAAGACCATATGAACATCAGAATCACACCAATGGCCCATCTGGTCCAGCTTCCTGTTCTCATAGTGGCTAACCTGATGTCTGTGGGAAACCCACAAGCAGGATTTGAGCCCAAGAGCCCTCTCCTCTCCTGTGGTTTCCAGCAACTGGTATTCAGAAGCATTGCTTCCTCCCATCAATAGCCTTCTCCTCCATGAGAGGAGGTCCCTCTTGTATTAACTGGCAGGCTGAGGCAATTTCCCTCAGTCTGACACAGCAGAGCTCCTACATCCAGGTCTTTTGCTTTCTTTTTCTTAATATATATATATAGTCCTGCTTCCGCCTTGCCTTCACACCAGTTCCATGTTTTTTGCCCCAACGCACAGAAAATACCTGTATGTTCAGGAGCGTGGCTGTCTGCTGGGGTAGCTGCCGATATAACACACCTGGAAGAGATTAGGGAGAGGTTTCTATACATCCTTTCCAAACACAAACATCGCAGGCTTCATATTCAATAACCAAGCAGCGGCATTCAAAACAGGAGCAGACTGGTCTAAACACGTGGGGCGTTTTGTCATCTTCCGTTTCACATATGGAATCCAGAACACTGTTCCAAATAAGACACCCCCCAAACCAGTGTAGTGGTTAGAGTGTGGGACTGGGACGTGGGAAATTGGGGTTCTAGTCCCTACTCAGTCATGAAGCTCCCTGGAGAAAAAGGTGGGGTACAAATGCAATAATAAAAATATATATATCTTATGTCATACAACCCTCCACACTCATGGACTCACGTTGAAGAAATACTAAAATTCCAGACCTGCTTTTCAGCGTAGCCCAGATCCTGATGGAGATGCATTTTCTGATGGGTCACGTTCAAAGGGGACACTAAGCCAAATCATGGGTGAGTGGGAACATGCAGGCTCCCAGGAAGGAGACCACAGCCTCTTTACTCCTCCTTGGGTCCTTTTAGCTTAGCATAACACTGGTTGGCAGCCATTCACTCATACAGGAGAAAGTAATGTCCCCTGGATCATCCTTTACAATAGGGACATAAATCTGCCCCTTGTTCTTAGTAGCACCAAATGAATCAAGTATCCCCTTTGTTCAATGCTGGGTTCTGGTTCTTAGTCATTCTGATGGAATGCTAGGAGAGTAGGAGTTGGAAATTATTATTATTACTATCACCATAACATTTATTATATTATTTATTTATATCCCTTCTTTCTCCCAGACCAGGAGTCTGGGACTCAACTTGATGCATTTGCTATTTGATACACTGGTTTGCTGTTACTGTTTTATTCTGCAACTCTGTATTACTTTTTCCTCTGTTACTTGGTTTTGTGTTCAGGTAGGTAGCCATGTTGGTCTGTCACAGTAAAAATATATATAAAAAATAAAAAATTGTCCAGTACCAAGAACAAACTTAGTTGGTTTCTAAGGTGCTACTGGACATTTTATATATATTTTTATATATTTTTACTTGGTTTTTTGTGTGTGGCTACATGTTCTTGTATAATAATAATAAATTGTTCTGAGGTGGGGAAGTTGATGCATTTAGTGGGGCATTGTTTAGGGTTTTTTTATTTGCTGGGATCGAGATTTAATTTTGGAGATGTTAATTTTGCAGTTATTGACATTCATTTTTTGTATCTTTATTTTTTGGATCTTATTATAACTTACTTACTTTTGTTGTGCACATTTTGATACGTTTTTATTTATTGCTTATGACTACTTGTCTCATACTTTTGCAATTATGTAAATTCTTTCATGTTGCAAGCATGGTTGAAAGGCGGCAAACAAATAAATGACAATGGTGATAAACAACACAGTCAAGTCCCTGTTTGGCAACTTGCAAAGGGAAGGATAAATAATAATTGAAGGGAAATAAGGCACATGAAAGTGAGAGAAATCACCTTAGGCCTCTCTCCCGATCGATAGGTCTATTTGGACCCCCTGTAAGTATACTCCCCAAATATGTATATATTATTGACAGAGGCTTGTGCCTGAATTTAGATTAATTGAATTCCATTCCTCTCCCGCTTAGCTTGCCCCATGCCTGAGCCTTGAGGGGAATCTGCTGCTTTAAGGTCACGTTCACAAGATCAACAGACACGCGTCTTGCGCTACTCGCAGAGAAGGTGGGCGAAAGAGTAACAGAAATTAGTTTCGCTTCACTCCCTGCTCGTCGGGAAGCTGGCAAAAAAGAAAACAAAGCAGACTTCAGGTCAGTCCAGACCAGTGGTTCCAGAGTAAAATAGAATGGGGGTTTAAGCACTCTGTATCACGGGGCGGGTGTGGGTGAACGCGTGGGGAAAAGGTAGCTCCTCCACCCCAATTCCCAAATGGGTAAAATAGGGCAGCTTTAATGACCGCGAGGCCAGAACCGGAGTCACTTCGGATTAATCATTCCGGAGCAAAACAGAAAGATACACGCCCCCACGCCGATGGGAAAGGAGCAAAGTGACCTGAGGGCGATCCAAGCACACTTACTCTCCATCTTGCCGGTCGGATCCGCCTCCGCACGGAATAGGCGAAAGCGATTCAGTCCGCTCACACGCTCCTCTTCCGCCTCCACCGCCCACAAACTGAAACGCGCATGCGCTGCCTTCACCCTCTGGCTGGCTTGATAGAGGGAGAGACGCATCTCCGCTAGCCCCACCCCTAAGAACGACTGTAGAGCTAGAATAGGAGAAGCAAATTCTGATCAGTATTTTATCTACGCACGCGCAGTTATGCCCTTTGCAGATCCTTGATGCGTCGTAGAAACAGAAATAATAGGGGTAAACAAGCAAGATGCAGCGCGCTACATTGCAGGGCTGTCGTTAAGTCAGTCTGAAAAGAATGACGGATTATGCATCTGCCGGACGTTTTGAACTATGTAAACTTCGAAAAATATGCATTAGCAGCACTTTTTTTGTTAAAGGGATTTTTTTTTTAAAGGCAGGCTTATGGTATATATGGTGATTACGTTGTTTCCTGTCACTTTCTTCACAAAATGAGACCTGAGCGAAAAGGAGACCGGACTGCTCTATCTGCTTCTTCTACCTCCTTGGGGTCTCTTGTCTAGTCCCGGTCAAGCAACACTCCTAGACAGCTGCCCCTTTTGTATCTTTGCAGGCATACACTACCTTAGCGTCAAATGAAACCTGGAAGTCTTATCTACAGACAATGTAACTGGTCCCTCCTTTTAGGAACACACATATGGCTGCCTGAACTGGCAAGGAAGAAGATTTTTTGAACAGTGGACGCTGCTCAGAATTTTCTTAATTCTTGTAAGGAATGGACTCCCTTACTCTGTGAAGAAAGGTCGCAGCGTTTGGGACTTTTTCAGTTCAGAGAAAAGGTGAATAAGATGCTATTTATACATGGCATGCAGAAAGTGGATGGAGAAAAGCTTTTTCTCCCTCATAGCACTGGAACTCGCTGCCGTCCAATGAAGATGAAGGTTGGAAGATTCAGGACAGAGAAAAGAAAACAATTCTTCAAGCATTGCATACTTAAAACCATGCGACTCCACAGGAGGCGATGATGGCCACTGACTTGGATGGCTTTTGAAAAAAAGATAAGGCAGATTCACAGAGGTGAAGTGCATTAATGTTGGAGGCAGTAATGCTTTCAAATAGCAGCTGCCGGAATCCACAGGAGGGGAGGGTGCTTTTGTGCTCGAATCCTGCTTGTGGGTTTCCCTCAGGCATCTGGTTGGCCACTGTGAGAAGAGGATGCTGGACTAGATGGGCCATTGGCCTGATCCAGCAGGCTCTTTACACCACTGCTTGATTTATGATTGGCATACAGAGCGATAGCCCAACAGTGGCTCAAATCTACAGTGGTACCTCTGGTTACGTACTTAATTCGTTCCGGAGGTCCGTTCTTAACCTGAAACTGTTCTTAACCTGAAGCACCACTTTAGTTAATGGGGCCTCTCGCTGCCGCCGCACCACCGGAGCACGATTTCTGTTCTCATCCTGAAGCAAAGTTCTTAACCTGAGGTACTATTTTTGGGTTAGCGGAATCTGTAACCTGAAGCGTATGTAACCCGAGGCACCACTGTATATACAGGGCTCTCTTGCTGGGCCTTGATGGTGGTTGGATCTCAGACTTGGGAGACCAGAGTTCAAATCCTCATTCAACCATGTGGCTCCCCCGGTGACCTTAGGCCAGTTGCTGTCACTCAGCCTAATCCTACCTCACAGGGTTGCTGTAAAATGAGGAGTGGGAGAATCATGTACGCCACCTTGAACCCTTGGAGGAAAGGTGGAATAAAATGTAAAAACTAAAAATATAATAAATATTTCAATGTAACCTCCTGCAGAATTCTGTGGCAACGTTTTCCCACCCCTTGCCAATAAGTGTGGGGGAGAAACTTGTCACAGCCAATTAGATCTCTTTAAAAAAATTGATTTAACCCCTCAAATTTCTGCCACCGTTAAGTGAGGCGCCGTTTTCTTGAACAAAAGATCAAGATAAGTGAGATAGGTCTTTGGAGTCACATGAGGGCCCCTTCATTGGATTTATGTCATAATTCGCAAAGCATTTAAGGCATTAACCGTCAAACCAGCATTGGCGATACTGGGCTGTAAATCCAATGATCCAAGCTAAACTGGTGCCTGGGGGAAGATGGTCTCTTTTGCCAATTTCACGGCTTTGTTTTAATTTTCTTGTTTTTTGAGCTCGAGGTAAGAATTCATTGTTGAATGAATGATGATGCATTTCCTCATGTTGAGACTGAGGATTCTGTAACAACACAGGAAAGAGAACTGTGGCGTCCAGCGTTAATGGAAGGAGCATCACCCATGGGCATGCACAGGGATCTGGGGGAGTAAGTGAGTGAAGAAAATGTGGGTAGATAGATAAAAAGATAGGTAGATCAGAGCTGTAGCTGGAGGGCTAGCCAGGGTTTCTGCCCCGGGTGAAGCCTCCAGAGGGGTGCCATCAAGGCTCCCAGCCACCCAGCCAGTGCTGGATTTATGTATAGGCTAAGTAGGCTGAAGCCTAGGGCCTCGAAATCTAGGGGGCAGAATTCATCATGCGAAAGGCTGGGCTGGATGAATCCCTAGCCAGAATTCAGATTTCCGGAAGAAATATCAACAACCTCAGATATGCGGATGACACAACCTTGATGGCAGAAAGTGAGAAGGAATTAAAGAACCTTTTAATGAGGGTGAAAGAGGAGAGCGCAAAATATGGTCTAAAGCTCAACATCAAAAAAAGGGAAGATCATGGCCACTGGTCCCATTACCTCCTGGCAAATAGAAGGGGAAGAAATGGAGGCAGTGAGAGATTTTACTTTCTTGGGCTCCATGACCACTGCAGGTGGTGACAGCAGCCACGAAATTAAAAGATGCCTGCTTCTTGGGAGAAAAGCAATGACCAACCTAGACAGCATCTTAAAAAGCAGAGACATCACCTTGCCAACAAAGGTTCGTATAGTTAAAGCCATGGTTTTCCCAGTAGTGATGTATGGAAGTGAGAGCTGGACCATCAAGAAGGCTGATCGCTGAAGAATTGATGCTTTTGAATTATGGTGCTGGAGGAGACTCTTGAGAGTCCCATGGACTGCAAGAAGATCAAACCTATCCATTCTTAAGGAAATCAGCCCTGAGTGCTCACTGGAAGGACAGATCGTGAAGCTGAGGCTCCAGTACTTTGGCCACCTCATGAGAAGAGAAGACTCCCTGGAAAAGACCCAGATGCTGGGAAAGATTGAGGGCACAAGGAGAAGGGGATGACAGAGGACGAGATGGTTGGACAGTGTTCTCGAAGATACAAACATGAGTTTGACCAAACTGTGGGAGGCAGTGGAAGACAGGAGTGCCTGGCATGCTCTGGTCCATGGGGTCACGAAGAGTCAGACACGACTAAACGATTAAACAACAACAACAAAAGCTTCACAATGCTAAATGAAAATAATTCCAGCTCATAAACGGCTAATAAGAAAAAATAAATAAATCTTACATTGGTATCTCATAAGAAAAATCCACGAGAACCACAGATACACATCACATTTCTTTTGCTCAGGATCTGAGTGCTTTAAATTTGAAAGTTGGACTAAATAATAGCAGTACACTTCTTTGACTCCTATAAACTGCCCTCTAAAAATACAATAATAATTTCTGACTCTAATTTCTCGTCTTTCCTTTACCCCCCAGCTTTCACAGAACTTTAGTTAGGCTGTAACCCATGCATCTTTTCACTAGAGGGCAGGGTAAGATAAGAATTGAAAGTGGGGAAAGTCATTTATACAAATATCATTTTTTTCCTCACAAAAGACGATGCTCTGAATCCGGGCCACAAAATCTCTGTTGATTACTGTGAGCATATATTTTGAAAAGTGTACCATTTTAACAATTAAAGAGAAGCCCACAGAGATGTACCCCCAAATTTCATAAACCGAAGTTTGGTGTACAGTGGTACCTCAGGTTAAGAACTTAATTCGTTCTGGAGGTCCGTTCTTAACCTGAAACTGTTCTTAACCTGAAGCACCACTTTAGCTAATGGGGCCTCCTGCTGCCGCCGCGCTGCCACCGCGTGATTTCTGTTCTCATCCTGAAGCCAAGTTCTTAACCCGAGGTACTATTTGTGGGTTAGCGGAGTCTGTAACTGAAGTGTCTGTAACCTGAATCGTCTGTAACCTGAGGTACCACTGTATTTGGTAACAAGTCATAGGAACATAGGAAGCTGCCTTATGCCGAGTCAGATGGTTCGTCCACCAGCCCAGTATTGTCTACAGTGACAGGCAATGGCTGTCCAGGGTTTATGACCAGGAAGCTTTCTCAGCACCACCAGGAAATGCCTGAAATTGAACCTGGGACTTTCTGCATACAAAGCAGACTTTTCTACCACTGACAAGCAGCCCTTCGCATAAAATCCCCTTGAAAGTTGACACTTGTTACTATGCCAAATTTATGGGTCACCAGCTGAAGCGTGATCTGCATAGAGACATAAGAAGAGTGTTCTGGATTAGGCCAATGGCCCATCTAGTACAGCATCCCATTCTCGCAGTGGACAACAGGATGCTCCAAAGGGAATCCACAAGAAGGACCTGAGCACAAGTGCTGAGTGTGAGAAATGGAGATATAAAGCCTAGGAGTCAAATGGCGCCTTAAATTTAGGCTATGGTCACCACAATGATAAGTCTAGCCACTTATCTTTGTGAGTGCAAGATTACAAAGCAAATGGTCTGTAGGGTAGGGCAGCATCAAAAGACACGCAGTGGTGCTGCACTGCCCCACAGACCAGCTGGCTGGTACTGCATCACAACCACACCAGTCAGGTAGAGATGTTATGTGCCAAACCTGGTGACCAGACATCTCCACTTCCTCGCAAAAGGCTGGTTGCCTGTCGCAAACCATGCCTGGAGCCCAGTTCCCCTGTCAGTTGCTACCAGGCATTTGGTAACTTGCCTAATGCCCTGCCTAAACTTATTTTTCTTCCTTTCTACTAATGCTGTAGAATCAAACAGTTTTTCCCCTACCTACATTTCATGTCAGTAATTCTCAAGGCTGGTAAGGATCCAGCAAACTGTGCCAGTTATGGGCTTATCTCTTTTATTAATGCAGAGTCGGAAAGCCTGACAGTGGTCCAAGCTGAGAGGCTGCAGACTGTAATATTTACTCTAAAACATAAAAACAAAGCGGGTTTTGATAGCGAAAGAGGCTGACAATATCAGACATTAACAATTATCAATGCCCCGTGCTGCACTCTCGGACCCAGTTTCCTGGAAGTAAGCCTCACTGAATTCAATTAAACTTCCTTTTGAGTAGACACATTTACTAGGATTGTGCTGGCTTCTGTACTGATTGATTTCCATTCTTTGGCCCAAGCCAAATGTGATGCAGCAGCAACCGCTGTGATTAATGTAGAGAAGGCTGTTGATACTGTTCATCGGCATTTTCTTGTAGCCTCCCCCTCCCAATAAGCCTTTGGGTTCATCAAATGGATTAACCTTTATATACCTCTGCTTACAATTTCACATGGTTGCCAGTTGCATAATCTCTCAGCCAGTTCTCTCCATGGCTACTAACCGCAATGGCTATTTTCCTGCCTCCGCTGTTGGAGATGCATCTGAATACCAGTTGCTGGAAACTACAGGAGGGCTCTTGTGCTCAGGTTGGCCAGTGGGAGAATAGAATGCAGGACCAGATGGACGACTGGCTTGATCTAACAGGCTCATCTTATGTTCTTAGGTCCAGTTCTTTTGCAACATGGACCCATATTGGTTGCCCTCTCTACAACTTTTCAGTCAGGCATGTGTTTTCGGGCAAAGGGCAAAGATTTGAAAATTGGTATCATTGAGTACAAAGCGACATACAGTTGTACCTTGGAAGTCAAACGGAATCTGTTCCAGAAGTCTGTTCGACTTCCGAAACGTTCGACTCCCAAATTACGGCTTCTGATTGGCTGCAGGAAACTCCTACAGCCAATCAGAAGCCGTGGAAGCCCTGTTGGACATTCAGCTTCCAAAAGAACGTTCGAAAACCGAAACACTCCTGGTTTTCGATTGTTTGGGAGCCAGAATGTTCAACTCCCAAGGCATTCGGGAGCTGAGGTACGACTGTACTGATTTCAATGGATGGTCCCAACTTATGGAATTTGGTCTTTTGTACGATTAGACAATTCATTGGGGTTATCCATTCCATGGGATCCTGAACTGGAATCTGTGGGCCACTAGTGGTCTGTGAGCTTCGTTCAGGTGGTCCATGGAGTGTCTGGGGATTGGAAGGTGGGAGGCAGCGCACCCATTATGTTAAATATTCACATTGAATTTACGCATTGTATTTTATTCCTTCTTTTATTTCTTGCATTGTGTTTTATTGCATAATATATTACCAATAAAAGCAATAAAAATACATTGGCCAGCCAGTTTTTGCCCTTGATCTGCCTCCAATGCTCCAGATTCCATCTAGTGTGCTTCTGCCATGACTCCCCACTTTCTATTTGGCATTTCCTCCTTAAACTTCAAATGTCTAGCAACCAATATTTAAGGAAAGAGTAAGGATTGTGAGCCTCCACTCTATTTTTTTTAAAGTTTGGAACATCCTCTGTTCTAATTGCCTAGTCTTAAGTGGACCTGGTGTAGATAACTGTAGTCATTCCATTTTGGAAACTTCAGTACCTCCTTTGAAAATAGTAGAAGTTGGGGTGGGGGAAATCTTGCCTTTGTTTTGTGAAAGGGATCAATTATATTCTTTTCTTTTTGTACTTCCAAAAAGTTTTGGCATTTAAGCAGAGGTCACCCTCCCTTCTTTCCTCCTTCACCTTTGAGGAAGAATGTCCTCTCGTCTTTCAATTTGATTACAGCCCATTTGCTAAACACTTCTCTCTGAATGTCTGACCTAGATTTGCAAGTGACATAACAAGAAGCCATTCTCTCCTCTCCCTCTCTCCCTCCTTGTGCCAGGAGCAAATGGTCCCAAATAAAATATTATTTAATAAAGCAATTAGTTCCAGCTGAATTTCCCCAATGGGAGGGGAAATACGCTCCCATTTTAAGCTGAATACGATGAAGGCAGGTTAAGGTCAAGAGGGAAGGCTGTAACATTGTCTCCAAAGGGCATCTAGCAAAACATTTTAAAATTTAATGTCTCCATAAGGGCACTTGGCTTCCTTCTCGTCCGCTTGTCAGTACCTTTTCTCAATCATGTTACGCAATGGAACAAAACCTCAGACAAGAAGCTCTCATCTCCCAGTGTAAAAGTTGAGTTTCCTCCAAACTCTGCAGGCAGCAGTGGTGTAGTGGCAAGGCCATGACAGCTAAACTGGTGTCAAACCAGCATAAATTTGTAGTGTATCTAGGTCTGATGTAACTGCATTGCATAGAATATACGTGGCTTGTGTTCTGTGAGCAATTGCTTGTTTTGCAAGTTCTGCCCCCCTACCAAGAACCACAACATTCAGTTTCTGGTTATCACAAATTGCCCATTACTTGGGATGTCAATTTTGCTTTTGTCCCTTGATGTCACAAGTTCAAGAGCAGCTGGAGCCTCTTCCATTGCGGGATGATTTACTTAATCCCTTAAGTCACTGGTCTGACCTTATAAATCATTCTAATTATTGCAGCTAAATAGACTGTAGAATGAGATGGGTTGAAATGATGGCATTTAGTCTCGCAATACTGTGCATTCATTATAGAAAAAAAAAAGAATTATATTAGCCAACTTCGAGGCTAATTGTAATGCAAGAAGATAGAAATTTAATGGAAAGCTTTTGGTAAGGAATTGCCAACTGATACAAATTAGGAGATGCCTTCCGTTGTATGTTCTTAGACAAGAAGACGTAACGGTCTTTGAGACAATGAAAAATGAGACGAGTTGTCAATATCTCCATGCATTATGTACGTTCCGTTTAAAAAGCCAGTTCTCAGCAAAATTGCTGGGGTTTGGGGGCCACAGGGGAAGTGGTAGTGAATACCAGGGCCTTTTCCAGGGTAAAACAATTCAGGACCCTGGACAGCTACCAGTTCTAGCTGAAGTTGCAAAGTTGTCTCAGTAAAGGCATACAGCAGGTGTGGGCAACCTTTGGCTCGCCAGACATTGCTGAATTACAACTCTCATCGTCCCTGGCCATTGGCCATGATTGCTGGGGTTGATGGGAGCTGTAGTTTAGCAACATTTGGAGGTTCCTACTGCTGACTTAGAGTAATCCTAACATGATTTGGCCTTCCAGTAGCTTGGCCTTCAAGGGAGATCTGCTTGCCATTTTTGAAGGGACTATGGCCTCTTCTGCCATTGTATCCATCTGTATGGAGGTGGAGCAGGAACGACTGCAGTGGAATCAATAAGGATGATAAAAGAATCACGTCCTTAGGCTGGGTCAGTGTAGAAAGGGATGCTGAGCAGGGTGGCTTGTGCATTGGGGTAACGCTGAGACCCTGAGGCAGGGAACATGGCAGTAACTATATCACCATCACTCTTCAATTGAATTGAATTGAATTTATTACAGTCCCTGACCAGACTCACATACCATATTAAACAAAACTGAGACACAATAAAATTAAGTTTGAATTAACAATCAGTATAACGATAGACAATACAATTATGGCAGCAGTTAAAATATGGTTTAAGTCTTAGTTCTGCAATATTATCTAAAATTTGCTTCTAAGGCCACAGTCTTTATAATAGCACAGCTTGTTCTCTAAGTTTTATGGCAACCACTCAAAATTTGGCCACTTTTAACGTGATCTCCATCCTTGTCCTCTATCAAAGATTTTAGACATTGAGGTTCGGGCCCACTTGGAATTTTTTGTATAACAGGGGTGATAAAAACCGAGTGTATATCCCTGTAAATCACTGCAGATCACTGGAGATGGTGACAGCAGCCACGAAATTAAGAGACACCTGCTTCTTGGGAGGAAAGCAATGACCAACCTAGACAGCATCTTAAAAAGTAGAGACATCGCCTTGCCAACAAAGGTCCGTATAGTAAAAGCTATGGTTTTCCCAGTAATGTATGGAAGTGAGAGCTGGACCATAAAGAAGGCTGATTGCTGAAGAATTGATGCTTTTGAATTATGGTGCTGGAGGAGACTCTTGAGAGTCCCATGGACTGCAAGAAGATCAAACCTATCGATTCTGAAGGAAATCAGCCCTGAGTGCTCACTGGAAGGACAGATCGTGAAGCTGAGGCTCCAATACTTTAGCCACCTCATGAGAAGAGAAGACTCCCTGGAAAAGACCCTGATGTTGGGAAAGATGGAGGGCACAAGGAGAAGGGGATGACAGAGGACGAGATGGTTGGATAGTGTCTTCGAAGCTACAAACATGAGTCTGACCAAACTGCGGGAGGCAGTGGAAGACAGAAGTGCCTGGCGTGCTCTGGTCCATGGGGTCACGAAGAGTCGGACATGACTAAACGACTAAACAACAACAACATCCCTGTAAAAATGGCATTGTAGCAGGACATGAGAGACAGTTTCCACTTCTATCAAGCCACAGGGGCAGACTTGTTCCAAGTATGGTTTACCCGCGTATCTCCACTGCAACAAGGTGGATGGCAGCACTTTGAATCTAGCGAGGGTAAATGACCATCTATATTTAGGTATTTGTAATTTTGACAAATATGCCACTGGGGTAAACCCTCTCCCATTATCTTTGATTGCTGGATGCTTATTCATCTCGCTCACGTGACGCTGAAGTTCTACATCCCAGATTCGTTGGAGAATTCTTACTCTGGCTTTCTCATAGCCGATGGCTAGATCACTCTTCAATGAATGGGAAATAATTTGGCGCCATAAACCCCATGTACCCAAAGTGGATATCTCTTCCCAAGTATGCTAGGTTTCACAGATACATACATATGCAGCAATTAGCACTTGCAGATATAGATCACAATTTTTTGACTTTAATTCTGGAAAGTTTAAATTAGCACATGTGGGAATGGTGTTTGCAAGTTGGTCTTCAAGATGAATATTGTAATTTTCACTTCTTTCTTGAGAATATTGTTATCACTGAGTGGTGTGAGATTCCAGGGGTTCCAGACACTTATGGGTCTGTGTTTCAGTTGGAAATGAGGCACAGTAGAGCCTGTGCTGTTTTTATGATATATGGCTTATTTACACATATAAACAGCCTAAACATTTGCATACTGAGAGGGTCCTTTTCCTCCCATTGCTGCAGCCTCGGATTCCAAAGAGCCCCCAAATATTGTGTCTGACCCTCTATGCAGCACAAAGCAGACCACCCGCCTTTTGCTTTCACTGCTAACAGACTCAAAGGGTCTCCCGCCACACCAGGCAACCTGCAACTCTAAACATGACTCTGCAGACTCTGACAGATCTGGAAGGGTGTCCAGCAGAGAGTAACTGTTTTGATAATCACCCATTACCTTTCTTTTATTCTACATGATGACACTTCTGCCAGGTGACTTCCTGAGCAGAGAAAAACTGGTTTGGCCTGGGTTTTTTTGATACTGCTAAATTCAACATCTAGCACGTTCTCGTAATACCCCAAGTATTGGTTAAGTTCTAACGTTTACTAAATCTAGGAATTATGAGGAGGATCTGGCACCCAGGAATTTAGGGGATCCTTGCCCCCCACCATTTATAAAAAAATATTTATAGATTTTCATCAAAATCTAGCACAACATACTGACATCAAGAGATTGAAGGATCTGCCAATTTTGGTTATCTTCTCTTCTTAAATTCAGTTCTTGATATTTTTGCTGCGATTTGTGATTTATTTATTTATTTATTTATTTTAATAATATTCGTGAAACTTCATCAGCATTTCACTGTGAAATATCCCTAATAAACACATTTTTATATGCAGGTTTGACCAAAGAGGTCCAAAGTTCAGCCCCCAGCATTTCCAGGCAGGGCTAGAAAAGATTCCTGCCCTAAACTCTGGAGAGTCACTGCCAGTCATCGTGGACAATACTGAGCTAGATGGACCAATGGATCTGACTCAGTATAAAGCAGCTTCCCAGGTTCCTTGGTCTACTTTTCTCTCCCATTCGCTGTTTTGTATGGGTGGTTAAACCTTTCTTTAGATCCTCAAGCTCTGCAGCATTTGAATTACCCACTTCATTGAACCCCAATTAGGTGGGAATGAGCAGTGTAAATGATTTACCAGTGGGAATCATTCATGGAAGTGCCATGGTTTATATTGGGTTGAAAGCATTTCGAGACTTTCTAAACATTTGCTAAGCGACGTTTGTGATTACATCAGGCCCTTTTGAGATGAGCACAAAGTATTCTTTTCAAACTTTCTGGGCCTTGTTTGCACCCAACCCCTTTACAGTAAAGCAGAATTCTTAACAGGGCATGGATGCCAACTTGAATATAATATTTTTTTCGGGGGGGGGGGCAGGTAAGCCCTGCCTTGCATAATCAGTCAAATGATGTGGTGCACACACACCATTTGAACAGCAATGCCAATCAACTTTGGGGGGCCCAGCCCCCTCAAATATTTTATAGGGAGGGTTGAAGCCCTGTCAGCCCCTAGGAGTTGGCTCCATTGTAACAGGGTAGGATTAGACCTACATCAAAAAAACTAAGATCATGGCCACTAGTCCCATCACCTCCTAGCAAACAGAAGGGGAAGAAATGGAGGCAGTGAGAGATTTTACTTTCTTGAGCTCCATGGTCACTGCAGTTGGTGACAGCAGTCACGAAATTAAAAGACGCCTGCTTCTTGGGAGAAAAGCAATGACAAACCTAGACAGCATCTTAAAAAGCAGAGACATCACCTTGCCAACAAAGGTCTGTATAGTTAAAGCATGGTTTTCCCAGTAGTGATGTATGGAAGTGAGAGCTGGACCATAAAGAAGGCTGATCGCCAAAGATTTGATGCATTTGAATTGTGGTGCTGGAGGAGACTCTTGAGAGTCCCATGGACTGCAAGAAGATCAAACCTATCCATTCTAAAGGAATTCAGCCCTGAGTGCTCACTGGAAGGACAGATCGTGAAGCTGAGGCTCCAGTACTTTGGCCACCTCATGAGAAGAGAAGACTCCCTGGAAAAGACCCTAACGCTGGGAAAGATTGGGGGCACAAGGAGAAGGGGATGACAGAGGACGAGATGGTTGGACAGTGTCTTCGAAGCTACAAACATGAGTCTGACCAAACTGCGGGAGGAAGTGGAAGACAGGAGTGCCTGGCGTGCTCTGGTCCATGGGGTCACGAAGAGTCGGACACGACTAAACAACAACAAGGATTAGACCTTGGTTTTGAAAGGCTTGATAAGGTAGGAAAGAGACAAGGGTGGGTGGTGGAGGCATAGGCTGAGCTGGGAGACAGGAGGTGCCATTAGTTCTTTAAATTTCCCCGGAGACCCCCCAAAAAAAAATTATTATGAAAACCTGTATCTCCATACATACGCCACTATTTATAACTCTATACATCTGTAAACCACATTCTTATTACACAGCCCACAAATTAGTATAAGTCTGTGGTTTTCTGGAGAATTCTCCCGCAAAGGTGTCTTTGTGCTTTGTTCCTCTTGCCAATCTTAATTGGTGAGTCAATTTTTCCGTAAGGGCAATAGGTTGTGCTCTCTTGTACCAAGCATACAAGTTTGCAACTTTTATGTCCCTCCAGAATGTGCCCGTGCCTTCGTCTCCTCAAGTCTCCTCCAGCGCCACCTCCAGCTGAAGATGCTCAAGGATGGTTAATAATGGTGGGGATGGTGACGGTGATGCTTCTATGAATTTCGTCACTGTGCTTATTAGTAGCATCCACTCGTCCTTCTGCTCATTCACTTACTTGGGTTGGTGGTGGGAAGGCAAAATCAGGATTGTGGCCATACACTTCCCTTGTGAACTAGGTGCACCGCCTAGTGGATTGTGTGAACAGACCTTACACAAACTGCACACGTGTGTACTTTTTGCATGGTTTCCAATGGAATGTCAAGCATGTGTGTTGGGTCTATTCACTGCGACGCACTGAATGCATGTATACTAGGGCCTAGGGGAGAAGCTACTGCTGTGATCCTGCTCCGTGTGTGTGTGTGTGTGTGTGTGTGTGTGTTTGTGTGTGTCAGTCTGCATTGACTGTCTAAAAAGGGTTACAACTGCTGTGCTGCACCATCCTTCACTATGCCAATTACTGTATATTCCTCGTCTCCCCTTCAAGCTAGCTCATAAGCAGGAAGTGGCTGTGTAAGGATGTAATCTCAGCAGGCCTGCTTAAGGGAACCAACTAATTTCAAATACCAAGTTTTATTGTGCTCTCTCTTCCCATTTGCGGCTGTCAGATGCTGTGCTGCATCCAGGTAAACAGCTCCTGCGCTCCCTGTTTCATGATTTAATTGGCTTTTCCATTGTAAGCAACAAATCAGGTGGCTGCTTTGTCTCCAGCTCTGCAAATGCCACCGGTGGCGGTGGTGGTAGCAGCAGCAGCAGCAGCAACAGCAGATGATCGCCGAATGGAGTGAGACGCGCAGTGTGAGACACATGGCCTTTTCATGGCAGTGAGCATGAGCTGTACACTTCCTGGCACCACACCGCTGCAGTGAGGTTTAAATTATCCCTGGGTAATGATCCCTAAACTTGCTGGAATCACCCATGCGCATTTATGATCGTGTTGACAAATTCTTCTTCTTTTTTTGCAAAACAGAAAACCGCTGGATGTTTCCTTTGCAAAAGTTTGCCTCTGTACAAGCTCTGGGCCGTTGCACAAGAAAATGAGATACCCTAAAGAGACTGATAATAACCACATCTTTTTAAAACAGGGTTTGAGTTTTTGGATGAATGAAGTCACTGAAAGCCTGTTAAATCTCAGTGCCTACAATTCCAGGAGTCCTGGGATTGTTTCCATCTTTGAAGGTTGTAGTCTTAGGCATACTTATCTGGGAGCAAGCCTAGTAGGACTTACTTCTGAGTAAAGGTATGTAGCATTGCATTGCATGACAGGGAAGGGCAATGGCACTGAACCAAGATCCCAATCCGTACCCCTATCCAATTTTTTTTCATGCACTACCAACGCAGCTACTGTATATAAATATATGCGTTCTACTGAGTCAGACTCTTGGCTTGTGTGTGCATTACTGTTTACTTTGGCTCCAGAGTGTTTCTACCGCTGGTGTTTGAAGCCAAGGACACTTGATATTAGTCACAATCCATCCTGTATCCTGTAATTTCTTGAGAAATACTGCTGGTTGATGTGTCTTCCATTCGATTTTGAAACCGCAGCTATGGTTAAGCTGAGGTGTCTACACTCCAGACAGCCATTGCACACATGACAGCTTCAGTGGAGTTTGGCCTGGAGAAACAAATTAAGTAAAGGGTGTTGGGTGAAGACATCCCCATCACTTCTCTGGCGTGTACAGCAATGTAAAAATGTGTCTTGAAGTACAGCAGGGGTGGTGGGAGACTGACCTTGCTGTGTTTCAAGCCACTAATCTGTATGTAACCTTGGCCTACGTTGCCCAGGGCTGCTTTCTCTGACACCTCTGCAAGTTCTCAGGGCCAAATGAAATGTTATGTTAAATGCATGACTGTATCCAACATACCTTTAAAAACTAAATTAAATTACTGAAGCTATGAAGGGATGTCCAAACAGGGTAGGACATGTGACATGCAGGATTATTTTTATTTATATACATATATTTAAAAAATATGATCTGTTGATGCTGCAGCCTGAATAATAAGATGCAATTAGCAACTTCCCTCCCACAAAAGCAGTATTGGTTTTTGAGTGCGTGATTTTCATCAGGAAATGTGATGCAGTATAGGAATGATTTAAATAAATGCATAAAGAAGACGAGGGGGAAACTTTGGGTGGATTTTGAAAGCCCTTTCGCGATGAGTGATCATGTAAACAAGCCCCGTAAGAAGCGCTGTTAATTTTAATGGACCTATTTGATTCATCGCTAGGTAAAGATACATCTGGTTTTGCCAGTACCGGTAAAAATAAATGAAATAAACTAAAACCTGCATGTTGAAATACTGTAACTAAAGCTGAACTATCAATATGGAACAAATCTGGCAAAATTTGGTAGTGTATGTGATGTTACCTTGGTCCAAGGCTAAGCATCCTTCTTTGATTCGTGTTAGCTGGCATTCTCTCAGAATCCTACACTGCTTGTCCCCGCAGAGTGCTTATGGCCTCCTGTTGTTCCAACAGGTTGATCAATAGCCGCAACAGGCAATGCTTGTTCTGGATCGTTGCCCAGAATAGTTATTCCTCCAGCTGACTTCAAACAGACAAACACACAGGGGCAGGAGCTACTGAGTACCGTTTGCCCACAGGCCTCAATTATCCTGAACTGAAGTGTTAGCGAGAAGGGGGATAACATCCCCTGCAGTAGAC